TAGTAGTAGTAGTAGTAGTAGTAGTAGTAGTAGTAGTAGTAGTAGTAGTAGTAGTAGTAGTAGTAGTAGTAGTAGTAGTAGTAGTAGTAGTAGTAGTAGTAGTAGTAGTAGTAGTAGTAGTAGTAGTAGTAGTAGTAGTAGTAGTAGTAGTAGTAGTAGTAGTAGTAGTAGTAGTAGTAGTAATAATAATAATAATAAAGAAAGAGAAGAAGAAGAAGATGATGAGAACTTTGAGATGGAATATTAATGTAACGATTAAACAATGATAATAACAAATGTCAAGGTTAGAGGTTCCACTAATGGTATATCAAACAAGTATAGTATAAACTCTTATTATTGAATTGGAAACCACACACAAAGGAGGTTCCAATCAGATTATATATTGTTAACATGATTACATTAGTCATCTTATTCAATTAATGCTAATACTTGTAAATCTCGTCAAGCATTCATGATTATAACTTATGTTAACAACAAATCAAGTTCCTTTCATAGCTCAGGTGTCGGTTATACCATACATTATGGGCTATGAAAGTGCCAAGCATTTGTTGTACCAAGTGTTATACAACATAAATCAAGATTAGTCATTTAACAAGCAAAGTATTAAAGAGTGAACAAGATAGCAAATATAAAACATGTTAGTATCAAACATTAAAGTCCATATTAAGTTTACATTATACTTATTCTTACACCATTAGTGTAACCTTTTCACCTTGACATAATTAACTTAGCTAGACATAATGAAAGAAAGCAAAATAGATAAACAAAATAAGAACATAAAAGTTAACTAAGTAAAGGAAAGGAAATGAAAGGCATAAACTTAATATTAATGAAAACAAAGCATAAAAAATACAAAGAGAGAAAGGAAGAGCATGATCTTGATCTGGAAATCAAGATGCCTAAATGCATGGCAAATGCCTCCTTTTATAGGCCAAAAATGGGAACTATTGATTTGATGACTAATTGATAAGTGGGTGACCAACTTTTGACTTGGTGACAATCCTTATCTTCTCTTGTCTGCCCAAAACGTCATTGATAACGTCAAAATTGGAGCCAGTTGTAAACATGAAAGTTGTAGGCAATTGTCTCAGCTTTCTTGTGTAAAAATTTCAGCTCATTTGGACTTCTAGAACTCCAGATATGGCCAAAATACCGAATAGTGCTCGGGCTGGAAGACAGATTCGGGCTTCTTTGTTGTTGCTACAATTTGGACTTGATAATGGCCTTTTTAGATCTTGGGCTCCATATGAAAGTTGTAGGCCTATGTCTTACCTTTCCATCCATATAAATTGGACCTAAATCTGAGATCTGTAGCTCCAGATATGACCCAATTACCGAACAGTGTTCCGGTTTGGATTGCACCGACATCTCTTTTCTAAGTTTGGCCATCTCTTTATCCTTGCAATTTAAGTTCTTCAAGTCATCAATCAATCCTTTCATTTATGTGATAGGCCTGCATTAAAAATAGACATTTACCATAAATTATAGGTATCTTATATTATTAGATACATTATTATAAAACATATTTTAGTTAAGGAGTTATTGATACTTCAAGTGCAAAATGATGATATAAAACCATGATAAAAATGCACTTTTAAGTACTAATCACACCCCCCAACCAGCTTATTACTAGTCCCTAGTAATCAAAGCGTTAAAATAGAAAACAAATTTGCAAATTTCACAAAGCAAGGTATTCATCATTTAACTTCCATTAGTCTATCCAGATAAACAAACTCTCATTAAATTTATATATCTGCTCAATACCTCTTAACAAGATATTAATAAACCTTTCTTTTGTGCTCAATGTATCAACACATAATTATGGGGCTTTTCTTGGAAGAAAACAAAATTTTTGTTCTAATGTTTAAGGTTAACTTCCTTGGGTTGGGATTACTATTTTTGTCTTTTTTTTTTTTTTTAACTCTATATACATATACTTTAAAAACATCATGCATCTTTAACCCATGTAACGAGCTTTCAGCTAATGACTCCCAGACCAGTTGGTCTTAGGGCATTAGGTGTTAAGACACCCCTACGAGCTTAGTAACTCGGGTCGCAGATACTGATATGTAGATAGTGCAATGTTTGATTCCT